AGTTTAAAAGCTTGTTCAATTAATTTTTCAGAAGTGCTGTTTATGTCACCATAAATCAACTGATCGAGTATTTCGTCGGCTGATGGCTTGTGACGACTAGCAGAGGTGTTGTTTTGGATGACTAGAGGGTCAAGACGTTCTAAGTGTACTGAAGGGATTTGTGAGTTAACCATATCTGCAGAAGGCGAAGAACATATGTTGGCACCTGCTGTGTCTCCGGTCAAGATTCTAGCACCCAGAGACGGTGGGGAGGCCTCAAGATTTTTTCTTTTACCACGTGCTCTGCGGGGCATTACGGACAAGATAAGTTTTTCGTTGCAGTGCAAGGATCGATACGTTGCTAACGTACAGAAAAACGCACTGAATAGCAAGAACTACTGTTATTTAACTACGAAAACTAGAAAGAGATACTCTGGAACGGAGTCAAAACAAAGGTTTTTTTTACAAAATATGACTATTATGCCAGACTGTAAAACAAAACTGGGAAAAATCATACCTTATATTAAAAGAGAACTATTAAAAGGGACTGAAGTAAAAAAACAGGCATTAATTGCTTAAGAATATCCAAGTAAATTCTAAGCTTTCGTTATCTTTGAATTTGACCTGCGCAACTTGAGCTTGACCTTGCCGTGCTGATATGTAGGTTTTTTAGTCTATGTCTGGAAATAGGGTTTCCAAAGGCTATGCCTATCTCACTTATATATTCTGAATAGTAGTATATTATATTATACTGAATATGCAAAGTCTTATAAAATAGGTTTACTATTGTATATGACCAATGTACTATTGTACATGCATATATGTATCTTCACTCATGTTGAAATATGTATGTGTATAGGTATTGCCAACTGAGCGAAAATGCGCGTCCCCAGGGATAAGTGAGAAGAAAAGGCGATCACGGGAACCATAGGTTTAATCGCCTGAAGTTTCGAAAGCAGACAAACTTTCATTGTCTGAGGTAGGTTCTGTACAACGCCTCGCAAAATTTATGGGTGCTGAGCATGTCGGCGTGCTGTCATTCCTACTGCTAGCCGTGCAGGCTGCACTGCAGATGGGGGGAGAATTAAATCGCCGTCAGACTGGGCGGCGCCTTTTTCCCTCTCTTCGTCGGGGAGCGGTGTCGGGATGGTGGCGGTATTGACCTCGTCTGCATTGCCCGCATTCGTTGTGCGTGACCCATATTCGCTTGCATCTGTGTTCCTGCCTTCGATTCCGTTGATTGTGCCGCACTCGTAGGGCCTGGTAGGCTGCCTGAAGAATCGTGCAGAGGGTGATGGGAGTTGCTTCGGTGTGCCAGGCTTCAAGCTTTTCCCCGGTTGTCTGGCCATAACCTCGGCCTAGGATTTCGGCGTTCTGAAAGGCGAAAGTTTGTCTCTAGGAAGCACAGTGCTCGGCCACCAGCGAGAGCTGGCCCAACCTTTTCACTGCCCTTGCGTGCACACTCATGCGGGTCTGTAGACGTTTTCCGGTCTTTTCAACGTAGCTCGCGTTACAGGAACTGCACTGGACACGGCAGATGACGCTTACCGTTTCGCCTCGTGACAGAGGGGCCTTGGGTCTCATGGTGAGACGTCTTACTGTCGCCTCAGGTCTGTAAGGGACGCTGATCCCAAGTGGTTTTAAAAGCAAGCGACTGCTTTGGATACGTTCTTGATATGCAGTAGTGTCTGCCACACTTTTGGCCCCTCTGTCGTTGGCCTTATGGCTTTCTTTGGTTGTCTGCTGGGTTCTATGAAGTTGTGATGAAAATCCACCGAAGTTAGTGGAGTTCGGCTACGTTGTCGTCTGACTCGCTATAGTGAGTTTCCGCCCTCTCGTGAAGAGTTCGCACGCAGCTAGGTTTGTGGTGCGGCGGGTGGTTACTGTAGTAACTTAGGACCCGGCGTGTGTTGATGGTCTTTCGATATACCGTCGTCTTTAGGCCCCCGTCGGTCTTACGGTGAACAAGGACGTATAGGAATTGTGAACTGAATGACAAGAAAATCAGAATTCAGGATCGCGTGAAACTCGGAGACAATCTCCCGCTTGAGGAGGACGAAGGTATCGTCCACATAACGCGTCCAAAATATTGGTCTGTAGATCGCGGACACCAGCGTCTCTTACTTTTGAAGGGCGGCCTCAGCAATGAAACCATACCGTATCGAACACATCGGAGTCCCTTTGATTTACTCGTAGACCGTTCCCTCAAAGGCCAGAAAAGATTTTGAGGCAAAAATTGAACAGCTAGATAAGGTGTGCTCATTTAATTTTATCTGCGGCTTTGTCATATTGACTCTCAAGTGGATCGCTGACAATTTTAACTGTAAGACTCTGGGGAAATGGAGGAAAAGCGTGACGTAACATCAACTGATACCATGACTTCGTCTGTGTTATGCTGTAATACTGGAATCTTAAGTCATTTTAAGTCACTTTATTAAGGGAATGAGTTTTTCGTCCTTGAGCTCCCTATTCATGTCGATAAACAGAAACAGAATCACCAATTACATCAGCAAATGCGGAAATTCAAAATTTGGCGGTAAGTGTGAGCCAGGCGTAAACTGCCGCAGCTAAAACAATCGTGATTATATTTACAGTAGTTTCTCAGCAAACGAACATCTCATCTACACTGTCGAATCCTTTAAGTGTAGACCAGATGCTTATTTGCTGAGAAATTACTGTACATATAATCACGATTGTTTTAACGATGGCAGTTTGCGCCTGGCTCACACTTACCTCTAACTTTTGAATTTCCGCATTCGCTGATGTCATTGATGATTTATTTCTGTTTATCGATATGAATAGGAAGTTCAAAGGCGAACGCCTCATTCCATTAATAAAATGACTTAAACGCACGGCTGAGCGGACCGTTGTATCGGAGTCCGATGTGAGACAGTTCAGGCGTCGGAACAGCCACTTTGTTAGGTTGAATGTGAGTGTTTCGCGCAAACATACGATTGGTCAAAGTGGGGTGCCAGGCTTGTGCACTTTTGGTAGCCCATAGAATCTCGCCATGGCCGAATCTGTTGGTTTAATGGCAAGTCGTTCTGCATTTGAGATGGCACCGTTGCTCTGCCACGTTACGTGCGTCGTGTTGATTTATTCCGCTAGCTTCTTCATCGGATCTCCATCGCACCTGATATACGCAAGATGGTCATCGAGCAGGGCGTTAGCCCTCCGAAGGTACTCAGACTTATCGAGTAATACCGTGGGGCATCCCTTGTCGGCTGGCAGTACACAGTGCTTCTCTCCGCCTTCAGTGTATCGAGGACGTCTTGCTCCGCCCTCGGAATTGCTGTACGCGGTCTGTAGCTGTCAGCTGAGATACTTTCAATCGTCCTGCACCTGGGAGTGTCCGAGGACCGACTCGATGCTAGTCAAAGGACTGACTTGATCAGCGTCCGCGGTATTAAAGCTTACTACATGTTGTAGCTTTTGAAACTGCACTGGCGTCAGTTATTTAGAGGATATATTGCAGACCAGTGTCTCATTGGGATCTTTTGTGGCTGGGCTCAATTTTTGAAATTTATCTCGCAACGCCCTATCTCGTACAGATCTCAGTTCTCTGGTTCGACTGCCGATCGCTCGTTCCAACAGTGTTGTAGCGTCCTCTCCAATGAGCTCCGAACACTTCTAAATTACCCGGCTCAAGACTCTGCGGTATTTCTGCAGTCGCAAATGACGATCCTGAATAAGTACACGAGTCATTCGTCTGCTGTGTTTGAGTCCTGGGGAGAGCTGGATGCTAGGCGTTGCACGGTGAGACTGTGTTATTTAGTTTGTCCTTAAAATAATGCGATGTCTATGTGAAATAATCCGAATGAATCTGTTTTGGTGCGAAATAAATAAACGAATTGTTTTATCAAGTTTTAGAATAGGTAGAAAAGTGTTGAAAAACTCCTTCTTTTGGAAGAGAGTGGTTTAATTAACTGTTAAGGAGGAAAAACCCGTCGCCCATGAAAGGGTGAATATGCAGGTCAGACAGGACTGATTTGCATATGGTAGTATGTGTATAGATTTGGAGGGTTAGAGGCAGAGCCCTTGATGACCCTACTTATGTACCGTGCTTTCGCAGATTCGCACTCAAAATAAAATTACAGATATTTACAATGTGATCGCGTGATAGTAAAATCGTAATGATAGGGAGGTGAATCGGGTCACTGCAAGTTTGTGCAGAGGGATTGTATATGACAGTGTTTTACAGAACTGGCTGTGGGTAGTCGTGTTGTAAAAGCTGGTTTCTGTCGAAAATTAGGCGAGCGAGTTTTCTTTTAAACATGTAAATTGTGTCAGCCGTCACCATCTCGCTTGGAATCAAGTTCCATGGTCGGACAACCCGCTGGCTGAATGAAAGCTTTCTACGGTCTAACCGCGTGCGCTCACACTTGGCTTTGTAGGCATACTTACTTGTACTTGATACGGCTGCGCTTATGCCTGATCTAGCCGGCCTCGATGATGTCCCAAAATGTACATCTCTACGCGTGCTTTGATGGGACCCCGACGGGTCTTTAATAAAAATCATCTATCTGTCTATCTGCGGCAGCACATCTGGAGAGCTCAACCCATTCCCTTCGCCAACGACGTAGACCGAATACCGAAGGTCCAGGAACCACCTCCATTTCTTGACGGACAGTGTCGAGCCAGGTTTTGAACTGACCCCCTCTTCGACGCCTCCAATTGGGCAACCGTGCCGGATCGAGGACAGTAACACTGAGCTCCTGAGGTGGACGACGAAGAACATGCCCGAACCACCTCAGTCGTCTTTCTTGGATGGCCTGAGTTATCCTTGCGATGTTGTCGCAGCGAGCGCGGACTGTCTCATTTGAGACGAAGTCGGTAAACTTCCCTCGAGGGATGGTCCTCAAGCAGTGGTGGTCAAATACCTCCAGTTTTCGCTCATCTTCCACGCGCAAAGCCCAGCATTCACAACCGTAGAGAAGGACAGACCGGACAGATGCACGGTACACGCGAATCTTAGTGGTGATGAATATGTCGCGTCGGATTCATAGGCATTTTCTAAGGCTTTACAAAACCCGTTGGGCAGCATCGATTCGGGAGGCAATGTCGTCCTTACTCTGTCCATTAGGCAGCAGCCTAGCTCCGAGGTATTTAAAACTGTCCACTTCTTCAAGTTGACAGCCATCAATCCCCAGGGGTGCCTTCTCCTGGTCAGGGATGCAGCCTGAGAATACTTTGGTCTTCCCAGCGTTTATGGACAAACCGACTGATTTAGCTACCTCGTTCACCCGTGACACCATAGACTGCAGATCACCAAAACTTGAAGCAAGTAAGGCGATATCATCGGCATAGTCGAGATCAGTCAGTCGATGTCCGGGTGCAAATTCAACGCCGTCACTGTAGCGTAGGACCGCCCCAAGGATCCAGTCAATAGCGCAATTGAACAGCATGGGTGACAGGATACAACCCTGTCGAACGCCAGACCGAAAACCGAACTGTTGGGAAAGATTGTAGGCATAACTGTTTAATTGGTTTGTACTGACAAATTCAAAGACGACCTCCGTTCTTATTGAGCAAACTTGGCCAAGGACAATCCGGAATGTCCAGAGTGGACAGCAGTTTAGTTGCCTATAGGAGTGAGGGAATAAGTCCAACACATTCAGCCTCTCCTGGTAGGGTAAATGCTTTAGACCATCGGCCATCTTAGTTGCTCCGCGTCGCCTCTGTTCGAGTAAGTCGATATAATTCCTCACCCATGGTGAGGCTGCTGACATTTCATACTCTAGATGGGATTTTACAAAGGCGTCAAAAAGTCTTTCGAAGAGTTCGGAAGGAATTACTTAAATGCATGCCTGATCCGGTGTAGAATACTCGTTGCCTTATGGGCCATCTTTCTACAGTGTTCTGATGGCATTAGATTTGTGGTCGTTCATACACCCAGGTATCTGTGTCTTTCTACAATTTCTAACGCCGTCCCATCAATATGGTACTGATGTTTGGAAGTGGCATTTCGGCCGTTGTTCAGGTGCAATACCACGCATTTGGATGCGTTTAACTTCAAATGCCATCTGTTCGACCAAACACACAGTTTGTCGATGTTCGACTGCAACTTCTTTGCGTCATCATCACATTTGACTTCAATCCATATTTTTCTGTCATCCGCGAACATGAGGGCCTCGCAATTCACTTCGCTGATGCAGTCATTAACATAAATTAGGAAGAGTATTGGGCCTAAAGCATAACCCTGTGAGACACCACATTCCACCTTTGCCCATTCTGAGGTATAGTGGTCAACGACGACTCTTTGAACTCTGGAGGACAGAAAACTCCTGAACTATTTAAACATTCATCCTTAAATTCCTACACCCCAGCTCTTCTGTAAGAGAAGCCTATGTGGGACACTATCAAACGCCTTCTTTAAGTCAAAAATATGACATCCACTGGATAACCCTTATCGGTAGCTCTTGTGCATTTCTCGTGCGAGTAAAGAACACTCGTTAGGCAGGAGCGCCCTGCACGAAAGCCATGTTGGGCATCACATACTATTTTGTTCCGTTCCAGGTATTTCATCAAGTGTCTTTTGATAACGCGTTACATTATTTTACAGGCTATGCAAGTAAGACTGACGGGACGATAATTTCCACAGTCAAGTTTTGAGTCTCCTCTATGAATCGGAGTGAAGAGTGCGTTCTTCCATTCTTCCGGGAGTTCGCCTTCTTCAAACGACTTTTGAAATATTGCGGACAGTGGTTCGCACAGTTCATTGGCAAGTTTACTAGGTGCTAATGCGAGCAGTCTATCCGGGCCAGGCGCTTTGGCAGGTTCGTGAATGGAAATGCAAATGACTGCTAAAGTTTAACCGTAGTAAGTGTGTCGCACTGCGATTAAAAACGAAGAAGGAGCAAACAAATGGAGGGGATTCTTAACCTCATTGACGGAAGGTACGTTTTGAATCCAACCTAACAAAAAGACCATGGGATCAACAGTTGTCGTCTCTAAAACCCTCTTCTCAATGCGTTAGGGTGGCCAAAAGGGCAACCAGTATTCCTTTCGTCATTAAAAGAGCATTTATAGATATAGATAAGGAGCTGTTTAGGAAAGTATACAGAGCCTTTATTCGTTTGTAGCTGGAATATTAAATCCAATCGTGGCGCCCCTGGCTGAAAAAGGCTGTAAGTTGCTGGAAAGAGTTCAGAGGTGAGCGATCAAAATTGTGAAAGGCCTTTAGAAATTCTCTTGCAGTTTCAGACTTGATGAGCTTAACATATTTCCTCTTGAGTACAGGCAGATCAGAGGACATCTCAAACAGAACTGCCGGATTATGAGAAATGGGAATTGTGCCCTATATTTCGGCGATTTCTCCGCCACCACCACAGCAACAAACCTGCATGGGGACTACCTTAAACCCCAAAGATCTCTACCCTACCTGGATGTTCGTAGGTACTCGTCTTCGCAGCGCGTTGTTGATGTCTGGAGCTGACGTCCCGAGGCTGCGATGAGTGCGGAATCAACAGAGACGTTTAAACAAACACTGGATGCGCATTTGCCCGAAAAATACCGCTTAGCTGGACAGGACAGCTCCGTTATACAAAAACCGACGTTTGTATACACCTACCGCTAATAGGGACGATTTTTATTTCGCATTTGACATTATCATCCATAAGTGAGGGTGCCCGCGTTACAGTCCCGCATTTTGAAAGATGATATTCAGTAAAATGTACATGTTCCTGACATTTTAATGCGATGTTTGTGTGAAGTTGAACATTATGTTTACCGTATATGTGTTGGAAGGGTGCTTATGCTTATTCGTCGAATGACGTAAAGTGTCCATGGTTGATGAGAGGTTGAATGTGTGATTGCTTCTTGGAACTGGAGTAGATTCCCTTTTGCACAGCACGATTGAAGATCTTACGCGGGAGAAGCGGGGAATCTCATCCTTTAAAGTTTCGATTGTGCCATCTAGGCGTTTAAAATCAAAACTACTACTATTGTTATATAAAGTGCTGACTGGTGCGCCAACTGCTCCAGGATTAGGAAATTGGCAACAACTTTAGGTGGCTAAGGTTACGTCCCAGGGTGCCAAAGTTATCGTTAAGGGAAAGACACTGACTTAAATCTGGGAGCAGGGTCTAATAGTCAAGTAACGCTTTGGAAAGGAGAACATTTAAAATAACAACGACGAATTGGTGTCTACTAAAGGATTTTCAAGATCATCTTTAAGGATTGGATGCTGTGTTTTTCCAGAGGCTTCTACTCTGCAGGAAGATAGGTTCACTTCTTTTAACGTACAGTTTTCGCCAAAGTTGACCTCCTCAGTTAGCCTATCTCGCAGACAACCTATTAGTTCGCTCACAATTAAGGCGGATTAAGGGTGCAGCGGAAACTCTGCGCTGCAAATGGAATCATTCAGACAGTCTACTCAATCTACGACGAAATGTCAAAGGAAAAAATGATATTTTTAATTTTCTTACGAGAAAAAAACAAGAAGCGAGAGAAGCTAAAAGTTCTTACAGCTCTGCAGTGCAAAGTTTCAAATCTGAACTTATGAAGAAATTAGTAGAGTCATAGGAATTAAAGCGTGCCAATAATTGCTCCGAATGGACTGACCTAAAATCGAAGAAATTATATTTTTTCTGCAAATTTTCGTCTGGTTCGAGTTCTAAAATAGAAATAACTATACCGTGCTTTGAACCCCCTAGTTAGCCATAAGATGGCACTGGCAAAGGCGGGCAATCTCTGCAGAGAAGTAAATTAAGCATGTTTGGTCCTCAGCTGAAAAACTCGACAACCTGATTCCACATGTCGGCTTCATTGGTCTCGAATGATGTCTCGAATTTTTTAGTGCTGGAAGGCGGAAACCAGCGGACTTCCTGTAGACTTGAGTCGCCTACAATCAGCTGACAGTTAAGATTTTCATTGGTCGCGGCTTAAGGTGTCAATTAAAGACGGAAATTAAAATCCTTACTGGCATTCGGTAGATAATAGACACAGCAAGCGGGAAAATATAGCTAAGATTTTAAAGCAACCTTGATCCAGGAGCTACTTTCTACGGCAGAAAAATGCTAAAGGTTCAGCGGTAGAAATTCGGGTGTTTGATTATCATGGATGCAGCTTCATTACCGCATCTGCCTTGCGAGCATTTTAAACTTTACAATAACCAAGACGGGTGAGTTAGGGGTCGAGGCCATGCGAGCGAGTCCAGTGATATTAGTTCGAACACATGATCAAGGAATGCCTGGTAAGACCTGCGAAGTATTCGCTCGACTTCAAATGGAGTATGCTGAAAAAGGTAAGGTGTAGCATATCAAACATAACTCAGCGGCTACAAAAGTGATGGGAAGGCATTGCGCACTGCTATAAGAAGCCAGCATGCGCAAACATGACTTCATTCTTCAAGAATACAGACAAATGAGCAGTGAGCTTATTCAGACATTTGAATTTGGGAGCGCCAAAAGTGTGCACTACATTTCGAGGTATTTATCCAACTGACCGTCAGGGATGGCCCGTGTAGTCTCCCCGTTAACTCACGAAGGAACGTCTTCTCTTAGAGATCCGATGAAGCATGGAACGGTCCCTGTCTATGTTGTGCTTCCAGCCACTACTAAACATTAAATAGCAGACTTAATGCTCATCTGCAAGGAGGATAAAATATATGCAGACGCGCTCGTAAAACTGGTAACGGCTTGCATCTTTCTCACTCTCATCGATGTCGGTAAAATCTCCACCGCAACTGTTGTAAACATTCGTTAATTCACTTCTTCTGATTGGAATATGCGAATCAAGAGAAAAGGCCATATTCCCCCGATTAAATTTATTAAGGTTCCATAGATGGCGGATGTAGGCCACTTAACAGATTGAATAGTTGTAAGTACCAGTTTAGTAGGTGGCACAAAGTTTCATTTCGCCGACGAAGAATGCCATGCGGTTACTTACTCAGTTTGTGATTAAATACAAAGACCTAAAGACCAGTCAAACAAGCAAAAACAAACTGTTAATAATAAAGGGTCTTTAGGGCTTTTCCTTAACTAGATATATTATTATCCACGCGAATGCGATTTTGTTTTTCGCGACCATTTGAACCGGGGCGTTGCTAGTACAAAATGTGCACCTTTTAATAATGCGCACAATCTGGGTCATGGAAACTGACGTGAGTTGGCAGTTTCAATGTCTTTCCTAAGAGGTTTGCAACTCTATCTAGGTTTTGATATTGATATTTGTTTTATAAATTTACTAGCGAGGTTTTCGAGTCAAAATAAACCCACACCTGCAAAGAAAATCTTTAAAATCTTATCCAGATGGGGCAGGACGCGCCGTGCCGAAAATAACAGAGTTCCTAATTTAGTAACAAGGATTCCGCAATTGCCAGAGCAGTTAACCAAAGATAGTCACTGCACCCACATGTAAATAATAACGTACACAAGTCGATCTGTCTCATGACCCGTTAACCAGA